GGATATCAAGTGTCGAGCGAAGGAATCGAACCTCCACTTGATAAGGTCAACGCTATCACTGCTTACCCCAAACCCGAAACAATAGCGGACCTACGTCGATTTCTCGGCATGGTGAACTTTTACCGTGACAGCATACGTAACGCGGCCCACATACAAGCGCCGCTAAACGCATTTCTACATAACTCCAAGAAACGCGATAAAACAAAAATCGAGTGGAACAATGAAGCATTCAAGCATTCGAGTTGTGTAAAGCTAGCATACAAAACGCAGCTTTACTCGCTCACCCATCCTCGTCACCAACTCAACCAATATCACTCATGTGTGACGCATCGAACACCTGTGCTGGAGCTGTCCTACAACAACTTGTAAACAACAAGTGGGTTCCCCTCGGCTATTTCTCGAAGAAATTCTCAGAAACACAACAACGTTATAGTACGTTCGACCGAGAATTATTATCAATATATATGGCGATCAAACACTTTAGAAAAATGTTCGAAGGAAGAGAACTCATTGTTTACACCGATCACAAGCCGCTTACCTACGCAATACGCAAGCCGCCGTCGGACAACGACACACAACGACGCACTCGTCAGCTGTTGTTTATAAGCGAGTTCACGACCGACCTACGTCACGTGACCGGAGCGAACAACGTAGTCGCCGACGCACTGTCACGCGTTGAAACGATCGACTTACCATCGCCGATAGACTACGATCAACTATCTCAAGCACAAGAAAAGGACAGCAATATTCTCAACCTATCTAAACAAACAAATATTCAACTCAAGAAAATCGCCATACCTACTTCAAACAAGCTGATTTACTGCGAAGTATCGACGCCTCACATTCGTCCATACCTACCAGTTGACTTTCGTCGCATCGCATTCAACGCCGTGCACAATACAAGTCATCCTGGTATTCGAACTACACGCAAACTAATGCAGCAACGATACTTCTGGCCGTCTATGAACACCGACATTGGCGAGTGGGCAAAGTCATGCATTCAGTGTCAACAATCAAAGGTACATCGACATACGCACAGTGACGTCACATCATTCCCACCGAGCGAGCGTTTCGAACACGTACACATTGACATCGTCGGACCTCTGCCTACATCTTCGAGCGGACATCGATACCTACTCACTATGATCGACCGCTGCACCCGCTGGGCAGAAGCCGTCCCTCTGCGAGAGATATCAGCCGAAGTCGTCGCAAGAAAGCTGTATGAAGCATGGATATCACGCTTTGGTTGTCCTATCAAAATCACGACTGATCAAGGACGACAGTTCGAGAGCAGCTTATTCAAAAATCTCGCTCAGCTACTGGGAGTAGAAAGAACTCGTACTACTGCCTACCACCCGCAGAGTAACGGGATCGTAGAACGCTGGCATCGTACATTGAAAGCCGCGCTCATGACTCGACTCGCCGACAACAACAAATGGTTGATCGAGTTACCTACCGTGCTACTGGGACTACGAGCCGCTACGCGCACCGACACTAACACTAGTGCCGCTCAACTTACCTACGGACAAGAACTACGGCTACCCGGCGATTTCATATCGCCATCGCCTACCTACACGAAGATGGACAACGACTATGTGGCTGACTTGCATCGTGTTATCACAAGCTTAACGCCCGCTTATCAGTCGCACACTAACCGACTGAGTATCTTCGTGCACAAAGACCTGCAAACATGCAGCCACGTATTTGTACGTGACGACGCAGTTCGCAAACCGCTGCAACGTCCGTACAAGGGTCCGTACCTAGTCTCCAGCAGAAGCGACAAGTACTTCACATTACAAACACCTAGAGGTACTACCAACGTGTCTATCGAGCGTCTGAAGCCTGCCTACGTCATTAATTACGATAACTCGGACAACTGTGCGACGCTACCAGAGGCTATCCAGGATCAACCCAGTCAACCTCCGTCGAGCAACAGCGATGTACGAAAAACGCGAACAGGAAGAATCGTCAAGACCCCAGTACGCTTCGCTCGGGGGGGAGTACTGTAGCCGCACCGCACGACTACATACCTACCAGTTACCAGTACCACCGAATACCTTTCCATATACCAGATACCTTCCACAATACCTTTACCAAAGTTATAGACTCACTCCGTTTAAAGAAACAAGAAACCAATTGTCTTGAAAAAGACAGTTTACGTTTTGACTCCGTTTTAAGAAACCAGAAACCAATTGTCTTGAAAAAGACAGTTTTCGACTTTCTTGCATAGAAACGATAATCATCACTGCGGCAACAGCGTTATCACACCGTGCCGCGAGCGATCGCTTCGAAAGAAGCGGTTTGGTGAAGCAAGCAGCCAAGCAGCGCCGGAGCCGGAGGCCGGAGTACTTGCATTCATCTTCATTCTTCATTCATCTGTAGGTAGTCTTCAGTCTTCACTCGACGCCGGCTCTCGGAGAAAATGCGCGCGCTCGCGCGGTCATACTTATACGGAAGGAACCGATAGTGCCGTGTGCAAAGCGGCGCCCCGCACCCCGCGCGCCCCGCGCACGCCGGCGCGCCGCTATTGGTCGAAACTATCACCTAACTATATCGGATCTTGTCTAGTTGTAAATATGTAAATAGAAATATAAGTAGCGTAGTTTGGCGAAATAAAATCATTCTTGTCAACACCTCTCATCGGAGTTTTACTACTACTAGAAGATAAGAAGAAACCTCCTCTAGGACACTAGGCTCTCCTACCTAGCTCCTAAAAAGCATTTGAGGCCAATATTTTTTTTATTTCGTCAAACAAGAAAACAATACTCTTGGATTATTTTATTTACAAATGGGAGGTCGTTACGTAACACGATATTTCATATCAATAGGTCGTCGAAAGTACCCATTTAGTTTCCTACGAAAAGATAAAATACTTGTCTGTTATAACCATCGATGGACATTAATAGGAAACTTCCCAATTGGTTCTGGATATCGTGAGAATATTTTTTCGTTTTTTGCATTACATTGGAACTTTATGCCAAGTGGGAGGATTGCAAGTTTCAAATTCAGTCTTTAGATTGCTCAGAATGGACGAAGCCTGTTATTGCATGCGGAATTGCAGATGCTTGCCATGGCGCTTAGTGAAGCGCTGGTTCTGGTCACGAGTAAGCGGCGCGGTGTGTAGAGCGGATTTATGCGTGCTTCGATTCCATTTTGTTTCTTGATACAATAAACAAGTCCAAAGTAACAATGACTGCCTCATTGGCCGAGTGGTCGCAAGTGCGACTGCCGGGCAAGGGATCTCGGGGTCGATTCCCGGGTCGGGCAAAGTATTACTGGGTTTTTAAAAAAATCTCAGTAGTAGCACGGAGTCTGGAATTGTGCCCGGTATATGGCAATAGGCTCACCCCCTATTACATGGGACTCATAACATAAATAGTGAAAAGTGGGTGTTACATTGTACAGTGGCATAATGTGATGGAATGAAAGGCGTGATGTTATGTTGTGTAAGTAACAATCAGAACCCAGAGGCATCAAACAAAACTAATATTAGCGATTTCATTGTGTACAGTCAGCGGCAGGTACTATGTAGGAGAGAAACTAAAGATTGCTTCAGTACCTACAGACAGAGGCTTAGCACGAGTTTGTGCTCCAATAAGCCAACCAATGACAGCGCCGAACGCGGTCTCGTTCCGATTACTTGAGACGTAGAACCAACTCTTACTAAGGCTACAACTACAATACAAAATCTATTTTATAATAATAAATAATAATAGACTCATTTTATTTATTTATACCACTAATGAATAATGTAGGTACAATGTTCCGTCGCATACAGTGGCCACAGATTATGATACAGTACAGGAAGGCATCTTTTGAAAACTGATAAATCTTAGAGAGTTCTCTTCGAATATTGTCCACACAGTCGATATAACACATAATTATTATGGACTAGCTTCTGCCAGCGGCTTCGACCGCGTTCCCAGGGATAAAAAGTTAGTGCTACTCCAGACCATATTTACCTGTTCCAAATATCATACCGGTCCCTTCTTCAGCCGTTTTGATTGATGTGAGTCAGTAACACACACACATACATACATACACACACACACACACACACACACACACACACACACACAAACCGCGTCGTCGCGTGAGGTACAAATACAAACGAATGTGACATCTGTAACGTCAATGTCAGTGTCAAGCATGCGTTTAGTTTGCGAGACTTCAAATTGTTTTTTTTCATATTTTATTTTTATATAAAATGTTTTAGTTATGTATTGCAGCTGGTATATAAAATCATTGTATATATTTTAAATTATTGTTAAGTACTATTATTAATCTATGTAATGTATATGGCATATAGTTACGGGCAAGTGCTGCCGTGATTTGAGCTTTTGCGCTCGGGTCACGGCATTTAATTAGGCTGAGCTCTGGCCTTTTGCGTCGTCTTCACTGCTTTTTTTATATTTTTTTGTGTTTGTTAAGATTGAGTTTGTTTTATCGTGTACCTATATAATTTTTTGGGATAAAAAGTACCCAATGTAGTGCACATGAGATTAAAGTATAATTATACTAATTATCATCGTAATCGGAACGGCAGTTTTTGCGTGATGCGTGAACATACTGACCGACACAGACAGACAATTTTTTTAAAATCTCATTTGTGTTTTCGGTTTACATCTAGTACACCCCTACTATTTATTTTTTAAATATTTTCATTGTACAGAAATTAAACTTCTACAGTTTTATTATATATATAGAAGAGATATATGTACATAACATGGATTCCATATCTGTAATGTTCTCCGGTTCATTCCTCATACAAGCGTAAAACAATATTTTTAGTGTTTAAGCTTACGTAATGGTTTTTATCAATTCGTACTATCGACTATACATAGACACAGTGGCCGGTCTCTTGTGGATCGAAAACGAGCCTAAGAAAGAATATACTTAATATATTTAGATTGTTCCCCATATTCAAAAATCGTTCACATCGTATTCCTTTAGCACTCCCACTATAAGGCTAACTCTAAGGCCACAGTACCAGTCGTGTCATGTATCATATTGAGTATTCTATTGGTCTCTCTACTAGCCGTGTCATACAGGCGCGCCGCTTCACGAACTACTGCAGTCCGACGCACGCTCCTCGCAGCCGTCGCAACCGTCGCAGCCGTCGCCGTCGCAGTCGCGGCCGAGCGCCGCCAGCAGCAGCGTCTGCGTGGGCGCCACGAACACTCCCGGCAGCCGGCACAGCCCCGCCGCCGCGCACGCCGCGCCCCACCCTGCGCACTCCGTGTACATACTCGCGCGCCGGGCCCGCCCTCGTACTAGGGTATACTCACGCGTGTCCAGCCAGCGAGGCAGCGCGCACTGCGCCACCAGCCGCGCCTCGGCCGGCGCCAGCAGCCCGGCGCGCCAGTACGCCGCGCACCCCGCCGCCGACGCGCCCACGCAGCACAGCTCTGCACACAGCGAGCGCTATACACCCCGCGGCCGCGCGCGCTATACACCCCGCGGCCGCGCGCGCTATACACCCCGCGGCCGCGCGCGCTATACACCCCGCGGCCGCGCGCGCTATACACCCCGCGGCCGCGCGCGCTATACACCCCGCGGCCGCGCGCGCTATACACCCCGCGGCCGCGCGCGCTATACACCCCGCGGGCCGCGCGCGCTATACACCCCGCGGCCGCGCGCGCTATACACCCCGCGCGCCGCGCGCGCTATACACCCCGCGGCCGCGCGCGCTATACACCCCGCGGCCGCGCGCGCTATACACCCCGCGGCCGCGCGCGCTATACACCCCGCGGCCGCGCGCGCTATACACCCCGCGGCCGCGCGCGCTATACACCCCGCGGCCGCGCGCGCTATACACCCCGCGGCCGCGCGCGCTATACACCCCGCGGCCGCGCGCGCTATACACCCCGCGGCCGCGCGCGCTATACACCCCGCGGCCGCGCGCGCTATACACCCCGCGGGCCGCGCGCGCTATACACCCCGCGGCCGTGCGCGCTATACACCCCGCGGGCGCGCGCGCTATACACCCCGCGGCCGCGCCCGCTATACACCCTGCAGCCGCGGGCGCCGCGCCTCGCACCGCACTCACCCAGCAAGAAGGCGGCCAGCACGTCCCCCATGTACACGATGGCCTCCGCGTCACACAATCGCTCGCAGCACTCCGCGTACAGCAGCGCCAGGGCCGCCAGCTGCACGCCGCGGCCCGGGCCGCCGCGCGCCGGGCCCCGCGCGGCCGACACCAGCGCGCCCACTGCGAACGGCCCCGCCACCGTGCACAGCGTGCACACCACGCCCGCCAGCGGGGGCAGCGCAGCGCGCCCGCACTAAAAACACATTGTACGCCTAAACCTACCACGCCTTTTACCTGTTATGAGTCCCATACAGTCAACCGAGTAATTTTTACCCTACCCGGGAATCGAACCTGAGAAGACCCCTTGCACGGCAGTCGCACTTGCGACCACTCAGCCAATGAGGCAGCCTATATCTAAACCAGGTATGTTATGTTTTGTCCAAAAAACAGAAAATACTCGATCTGTGAACGGTCTCATTGCTCACCCGCTGTTGGAACTTCAGAAACGGTGCAATAAAGTAGTCGGAGTCGGGACACTAACCAGCAGCCAGGAGTGCAGCGGCGCGGCCAGCAGCGAGGCGGCGTACAACGCGGCGCAGCACGCGGCCGCCCCGCGCGCGCCCAGCGCCGCCGCCAGCCACGCGACGCCCCCGCCGCGCGACCACAGCAGCACGCTGCAACACGACCCGTCAGCCCTGCGCCCGCGCCCCGCGCCCCCCGCCCCCCGCCCGGCTCTGCTCACCCCTGCGCGATCCTGTAGTCTACGCCATCCGTAAACGTACTGACGACCGCGGCCGCCAGGGCCGGCGACACCACGTGCGCGTGCAGCACGCAGGCCACCTGGGCGCGGCTGGGCCGCATGCGGGGCCAGGCGGAGTCCCCGCGGGGCCCGGCCTGGTTGCGGCCCGCGCAGTAGTGGACGTACCCGAGTACCAGCCACGCCGAGTACTCGGCGCGCAGCCCGCCTGCACACACACTACAACGTCGCACTACTACTCATTCTAGCTATGCTTCGAATGTAGAAAGAAAGTGACGAAATCAAATAGTCAAAGATAATAATTATATCTAAACTCATAATACAGAGTTAAATTTAATTCTACAAAGTAATTAAGAAAAGATATACTAAGTATAAATGAAAACTTGAGTAAAACGTAGGTAGTTATTCCAGTTTTTGTACTACCTATTAATAGAATGAACCTGAGATTGACTAGTGTAGCATGTTACAGTAGCAAGATGTTGCAGCGGAGTAGTTGATGTATGTTGAGCTGGTTCAGTGGATTACAGTATTATTGTACAATGAGAGAGCCAGCGCGGTCACTGCCACTCAGGGAACTGCATTGTGCACTAAGCTGTGTGCTAATGCTACATTTGATATCATTTATGCTGCAATGATACATTCTTATAGCAAATAAGATTGAAGATGCAACTAGGTACCAGAGGTTCTAATAATATATTGAAATGATTCCATTATGTCACTTTATATCACTTGTTTTTAAAATGTGAATGTTTCAATCAATAAAAACAACTTAGACCATGCTATGCATGAACGTTGAACATGTGCCGACTGTGCACCCCACATTAGGACCCCGTATGCTTGCTGCTTGCAAACTTGTTGCCTTGTACCACTATCCTATAACTTATCATAGTCGGCATCAGAGTACCATAATACAGGGTACACAGCAGAGCCGTCCGCTGGTCGACTCCGCCGCGGCGTGCAAGAGGACAACCGGGCGGCGCACGACTGCTCGGAGGAACTTATCAAATTATAAAATGTTTCAATTACATGGCGGAGTGCAATGCGGTGTATGATCTACTGAGTGAGCATGCAGTAGTTGCCTCCGGGCGCGCCCAGCCGCGGCGCCAGCACGGCCAGCGTCACGGCCGCCAGCACGCCGGCCGCCAGCCACCGCCGCCGCGCCGCGCGCCACGCCCGCGCCGCGCCCGCCCGCCGCCGCGCGCTCATTGCTGGGGCTGCTGGAACGGCTCAACTACTTTCGGCGTCGCACTGTGACATTTTATTAGGATCCCTGATGTTTATTGTTAATAAACTGGAATGCTGAATGTTATTGTACATGCACAGTTGTTATTAGTTCATTGTTTCAAATTACGTGCATAAATTTATTTGCATAATACTTATTATACTCTTTGTACTGCAATGCCGCATTTACGTCATTGCGAATGATAATTTGTAATCTATATTGTTGTGGTCTGTGCTTGTCAAATGTCAAAATCAATGTCACTGTCATTGTCATATAAATGACGTTTTGGCGCACAAGTTTCTAGGAGAGAATATCTATAGATATGAAATGATTGTCTATAGCTGGACAAGGACGTTGAAAAAAAAGCGGACGTAATCTCATTGAGAAATTATTGAAGCACCAAAATGCGTATTTGCACCACCGTAATGTATGAAGTGTAATGACAGCCATGCCCATGTAAAGCGACAGATGTCCTTTGTCTGGTCAATCAAAGTCAAGTCAAGTCAAGCATCAAGATTAGTAATTAATTAGTTATCTCCTCCATTTTTGAAACGTCAAAAATTGAATTGTCCGTCCGTCTGTCTGTCAGTGAACCTAGGTGCTCGTTCCAAATGGAAGTTTCGAATGAAGAAGAACGAGTCTCGTTCTCCATCGTTACTCGTTTAAAAAATGTTTTTACAGTCTTATTGATACATTATCTAATCTCATAGAGCACTCCGGTCCGCCGGTGGCCTGTGTTACTCTATGATGAAGACGAATAAACCCTCCACACATGGTCTTTTTTGGCCGAATACAACAAATACGCAACGTCAAGTGTGATGCCACCTTTATGCAAAAGTACTTATTATGACAAATGACAGATGACAGTTAACTGAAAAATGTCAATGTGGACATGTGGTTGTTTACAAGTTTACAAACTAAACTCAATTACGTTACATTTTGTAATAAGAATAATGGTCATGTTAATTCAGCAAGTATGATGTAACTATAGAGTTTTACAGAGTATGCTTTACATTACAATCTTTTTCATTTACTAGGTGCCTATGAAGATGCAAATTAATATTGTAAGCGACTGTCATTGGGTAGAAAGCCTACATTTAGCAGTGCAGTGGACGTCTTGTGGCGGATATGATAAAACTAATGTCTCACTTCACCTTGAATCTTGCGGGCAGTCGCAAGATTTAATGTGTAAAATCAAGATTCGAGGCAGAGGCCTGTTATACAAATAGTCTCAAAGGTTTCAAGAATTCGATTTAAACTTAAGCTTAGCTCTTTGAGGAAGTATTTCTTCTAAAACTGGTTGCTTAGCACGCGTGTAAGGTTTAATTTTTAATAAGTAAGTCAAATAAGTAAAATCATCATCATTTTCATCATTAACAGTCTATACTTAAGTGGCCTTTGCCGACCGAAGGCCTCTTCTCACTGGATTAGGTTTAAGCATTAATCACTATGCTAGCTTAATGTGGGTTGGTGATTTCAAACTTATAATTAGTAATTATAAGCCCAGGTTTCCGTACAATATTTTCCTTCACCGTTTGTCGGTGGTGTCTTTGTACTTACTTAGATTATTAAATAATAAATAAAAAAATATATGACTCGGAAAAAGTCACATTGGTACTTTGCCCTTGGTAGGTTTGAGACCTGCACTCTCATGCAAGAAAAACGGGCTTCTTAAACCTCCAGGCCACCACAACACAACTAAAGAAAATGTAAAATGAAAATGAACATTTTTGCTATAAAACTAAAGCAATCTAAAATAAAAGATGGCATTTATTGAATAGATTATTTATATATAGTTACTAGGTACCTGTTTAAAATAAAACAAATGTTTTATTTTGAAATACTTTTATTTCATTGTATTTAGGTTGTTTCTAGGACTACTTCATCTAAAAAGAGAGCAGGCGGTGTCATACAGCACACACTTCATTAACTGCTGATATCTGTAAACAAGTAAGATAACTGTAAATAAAGTAAACAAAACTACATTTTTTCCTTTAGTTTTACATGTTATAATAATATGTCTGATACACTATCTTAAAATAGAAAAGATAAAAATGAATATTTGATTATATTATTTGATTTTACAATGTTAAATGTAAAAATCAATGCCTTTAATAGGATGTTCCTATAACACAGATCATAGGAGCTCAAACAGCATGCTAATTAATCAAATATAATTATAACATGAGTATAACTTTTATACTCCACATACCTATTGAAGCTCTTACAGTCGATCAACATCTGGCCTCATCTGTTCTACAAACGGCGACGTTAAAGTGAGGCTTAATCAATGTTAACATAACACATCACATCCTGATAGTGAACACTGTGAGGTGATACGTCAGGTTGTGGTCTTTATTAATTTATTATAATAATTACATAACATAACATAACATCACGCCTTTTATCCCCGAAGGGGTAGGCAGAGGTGCACATTATGCCACTGTACAATGTAACACCCACTTTTCACTATTTATGTTATGAGTCCCATGTAATAGGGGGTGAGCCTATTGCCATATACCGGGCACAATTCCAGACTCCGTGCTACTACTGAGAATTTTTAGAAACCCAGTAATACTTTGCCCGACCCGGGAATCGAACCCGAGACCCCTTGCCCGGCAGTCGCACTTGCGACCACTCGGCCAACGAGGCAGTCAATAATTACATTTATAATTATAATATTTAAATATGGTCGGTAGGAGAGATCTAGAATAAAATGATACATTTTAGGTAGATAACACTATGCGGTTAGAGTATAGCCCTTTTTTTTATTTATTTATTTATTAACACTTCTGTATAACAAACATACGATGGCGGACTTAATGCCGAGTGGCATTCTCTAACAGTCAACCATGGGGTGATGCAGAGATGTGCAACAGTAGGTGTAATAGGTATAATGGTTTATGTGACACAGAAAAATCTATATAAATAAATTCATGATTATGAATAACTGTAAATACATACATATATCCGTATATATAGGTATAATATAAATTACATAAGATACATTATCAATATTACTAAATAACAATACTATAAAAGTAACTAAATAAATTGAGAATAAAACTACATATAATATATATATATTTATATACATATATATTAAATACAATCGCCAAAATGATAAATTAAGTACGTGATGCGTCTGTCTGTTCCCTCTGCAATAGTTCACGAACCTTAACTTTAAAACTAAGCCGGCTGGTTGCCGTCCTGACATCCGTGGGGAGCGCATTCCACAGCAGAATGGATTGGACAAAGAATGAAGAGTGAAGGAAGTCGGTCCGGTGTGTGGGACATTGTAGAAGAAGATTATTAGTGGAACGAAGATACTTGCTGTGGTTTGCACTTATGAACTGAAAATAGGAGGATAGATAGCTAAGGGAAGTGGGGGAATTAAGAAGAGAGAATAAAGTGGTTAACGCCCGTTGTTTCCTGCGTTGACGTATGGGCAACCACTTTAGTTGCAACCGATATGCAGAGACATGGTCGTATTTGCGCAGGTTAAAAACGAATCGAATGCAGTTATTTAGAAGGCGGTAAAGTTTATTGAGGAGATCTGCATTCAGGTCGTAGTAACACACATCGCACGCGACGACGCAATCGGGCCGGTCCTCCAGACCTGGCTCGAGCGGCCGTTCGGCTTTCTCTCCTTCAGTCTGGTGCAGGTGATGACAGGATATGGTTGTTTTGGGTCGTACCTGCACCGCATCGGGCGGGAGGAGAACCCGTCGTGCCACCATTGCGGTGCGACAGAGGACACGGTGCGGCACACACTCGAAGAGTGCCCATCGTGGTCCGAACCGCGTCAGACCGTCAGGTTTTTTTTTTTTTTTTAAACAGCAGGAGGGGAAATCCTCATGGAGACTCACACCTCCCCACGAATAGGGAGGTGTGAGTACTGCCGGACTCTTACCGGCTAAAACCCCTCCTGCTGTGCCAAGGTGCTCCTCTGACGTGATCAGAGACCTTCTTTATCAATTTGTGTTTGCCATTTATTCTGGGAACCATTTATGATAATATATATAT